TTATTGAACTTAAGATCAGTGTGGTGATTCATTGTGTTCCATTGCCATTATAAAAATATTGTGTTGATTACATAGTGATCCCTGCGAATTTAAAGAAATAGGCGTTTTACGCCAAAAGAAACAAGTACACAAGCATTCGCACGGTGAGGGGGGGCTGGCCAGCTGACATTGACAGGAGGGGGAGTGTTACCCTCAAGACGAGCCCCAGTTTTATGAAGAGAGAGTGACTTTCTGCATTGTACTTGATGTTTCGTTGTTGATACGGATATAATACCTTGAAGTTTTCAAGTAAAATACATAATACTGTACCTTTGCGCTTGTATTATCCCTCCATATATCTTGTTGCTATAGAACAGTTCCAAAGAGTGAGAGTATTAGAGACATATGCCTGCCTGAGACCAGATTTAATGAGTGAGCTCTCTGTCATTAGTACCACAATTCCACAATACCACTGACGTGTTACTGGACACGAGAAACACCAGTTGGCGACCTTGCAGTTAGTAGTAGAGCCCTTGTCGGGGCGGGCACACAGTTGGGAGAGAGCAGACTGTGTTGCCACTCATCTTTGGCTAGAAGGCCAGCTGGAGATCGACTGGGATACTCTCCTGGCGAACAGTGGCGCCGCGACAATTGAGTGAAGACCCGCAGGGCTACAGTGAGTAACAGTTGTCGCTAATACTACTGGGTGGTGTCAATGTAGAGAGAGATACACCCTGACGTTGGCGGCCGTTGACCGGATATCAAGAACGGTTACTTATACTTATACTTACAACAAAGGTAAACCCCGACATTGGCGATCTTGCCAGGTGTCTGGGATAAAGATCTTGTGTACATTGTTACTCGCTTACAGGACGTACCCCAACACTGAACAGTTATAATATGTATCTGGTGAAAACTGGATGTAAACCAAGTTTCCATTCATTTGCTTTTACACTTGGACACAGTTATTAGCAAAGTTTGGCAAAGATATTTCTGGCATACAAAGACCCATCATGAACCCAGTGTTGCAGCATGCTGCTACACCCAGGCTCGCTCACAAGGAGGGCTTTCAAGCACACAGACTAAAACATTTGCCACCAGCTGGAAAGCGTGCAATAGGCCAATGTGATTGCTTAGTTTGTAGAACAATGAACAAGATCAGAAACGTAAACTTGTGCAAACATGGTGTGAAGCGTGTGCAGTCCCATTGTGTGCTGTCAACTGCTTCAACAACTACTGTACCACTCTCTCTAAGAGTTCTAAATGTGCAATAATAGTGCAAAAACCTGTAGTGTGTGCATGTGTGTAAATATAATAATGAACAATGTGAATACATATTATATTGGCATAATGGGAAAATATTTTTGTGTGCATGTGTATACTCAATGTGTGCAACACTTATTACTATTGAACATGAAGTAACATTATATGCAACACAATTAGTGAATAATATTTGTGATAAAATACACCTAGACAATGTAAATAATGCAGCAAAAATAAATTTGTGGCAATTCTGACTGCTTGAGGACTGCATGCAATGCCTCTGGGACGCACCTTGCATGAGCAAGCATGCAGGGTGTGACGTCATCGCTCATATTGTCAGCTCATTTATGTCATTTGTAAGTACGATTAATTTTTTTCTCTCTCTCGTGGTCAGGGAACACAAATTAACAGTTTAGGAAGATTATTTTTTCTTTTTTGTTACACGCCTGTGGGTGACAAGGGACAAATAGCCCTTAGCAACACACGGGTTAATACACTCACCATCACTGGGTCATGCCAATATGATTAATACCCTCTCCATCACTGGTAAATGACAACACCAACATTAATACACTAGTTAATGAAAATATCTTGATTTATACACTCACAATCACTGGTTATTGACATCAACATTACACACACACACACTGGTGGTACAGTAAGAATAAAATTGTCCTTACCATCATTAATGGGCAGAAGTTGTGTTTGCTATCGTCCTGGGTAGCCGAGCAGAGACTGGAAGCAGTATTACCTATTAAGGCAAAATAAAACAAATTTAAGGTTTCTATGACTTAATTTTTTCCACCAAAACATAGTATATATTTAGAATAATTAAATAAATTTTTTTTAGGTATTGTACTTTGAGCAAAAGTAAGGAGGGTGGCCAGGAGTAAGGAGGATGGGCAGGAGTAAGAAGGATGGGCAGGAATAAGGAGGGTGGACAGGAGTAAGGAGGGTGGCCAGGAGAAAGAAGGATGGGCAGGAATAAGGAGGGTGGGCAGGAGTAAGGAGGGTGGGCAGGAATAAGTTGAGTGGGCAGGAATAAGGAGGGTGGGCAGGAGTAAGGAGGGTGGCCAGGAGAAAGAAGGATGGGCAGGAATAAGGAGGGTGGGCACGGGTAAAGAGGGTAGGCAGGAGTAAGGAGGGTGGGCAGGAGTAAGGAGGGTGGGTAGGAGTAAGGAGGGTGGGCAGGAGTAAGGAGGGTGGGCAGAAGTAAGGAGGGTGGCCAGGAGAAAGAAGGATGGGCAGGAATAAGGAGGGTGGGCAGGAGTAAGGAGGGTGGGCAGGAATAAGTTGAGTGGGCAGGAATAAGTTGAGTGGGCAGGAATAAGTTGAGTGGGCAGGAATAAGTTGAGTGGGCAGGAGAAAGGAGGGTGGGCAGAAGTAAGGAGGGTGGCCAGGAGAAAGAAGGATGGGCAGGAATAAGGAGGGTGGGCAGGAGTAAGGAGGGTGGGCAGGAATAAGTTGAGTGGGCAGGAACAAGTTGAGTGGGCAGGAATAAGTTGAGTGGGCAGGAGAAAGGAGGGTGGGCAGAAGTAAGGAGGGTGGCCAGGAGAAAGAAGGATGGGCAGGAATAAGGAGGGTGGGCAGGAGTAAGGAGGGTGGGCAGGAATAAGTTGAGTGGGCAGGAATAAGTTGAGTGGGCAGGAGAAAGGAGGGTGGGCAGAAGTAAGGAGGGTGGCCAGGAGAAAGAAGGATGGGCAGGAATAAGGAGGGTGGGCAGAAGTAAGGAGGGTGGGCAGGAATAAGGAGGGTGGCCAGGAGAAAGAAGGATGGGCAGGAATAAGGAGGGTGGGCAGGAGTAAGGAGGGTAGGCAGGAGTAAGGAGGGTGGGCAGGAGTAAGGAGGGTGGGCAGGAGTAAGGAGGGTGGGCAGGAAAGGGGAAGGGGGTATGGGCGGGTTCTCGGCTGCATCCCCTCCCTCTCTAACAGCCTACGTAATACAAATCACGTGCATTAACCCTAAAGCTGCTACAGCCTGGGCTGTAAAAGCTGGGGCTGGGCAAAAAATATTTGAAATAAGTGAAAATTAATATTAAATGTTAAACAAATCTCCAACTTATTGGCTTAAGCGTCATGAAAGTTTCATTCCAATATTTTCAGAAATGTATTTTAGACAATTTTTTTTAAAAAGAACATTTTATTGATAAGGAGAACAACTCCTTTTAACTGGCACTGAGGGTTTTGTCTCCTTTGTTTATTATCTCATTTTGTTATAACCTCTACATCCTGGAGAGTGCATACCCATCCCTAACTATGTCAAGATAGAATGAAATTGGTCACCCAATAAATCAGTCACAACTGGCAGAACTTGGGACTTTGAATTTTTTTACTGAGTTTTTCACAGATAATAAATTCTATTTTCTTTGTCTCTTTAGGCTGTTTTGATGATTAGGGACCAGATTAGAGCTTTATAACTTTTATAAAGAATACATTTTTATCCCCTAAATCATTTTAATTGTCCCTATATTTTGTTTTTTGGGGGGGGGGGTATTTTTTCTTGACATCATTCCCATACATACTGACCTACAACTTTCACATATTTGAGTACGAATGCCAAACAATATTTATTAAAACATATAAGTAAATTAATGAATTAGAACTACCTTATTCATTGTCGATAACTTCAACTTCAATTATCTCTAAAACTAGAGTTTCAACTTTGAGTCAGCTTAAAAAAATCCAGTTTCTCACTGCGTCTCACCATTTTTACAAATAATGTGCACAGCTGTCTGTTATACAATCCTATTAGATTGGATTTTTCACAAACCCTAAACATTTGGAGTTATCAATTATTTTTTCTAAATTTTATGCATAATTCAGATGCCACACTGACAATTTTTTTTACAGTAAACTAAACTGAAAACATATATTCTAAATCTATGAAAATGAAGATCATATACTATTCTGAGAGCATAATAACATCAAATGAGCAATTGGTGATAGTTTATATTTTTGCAGCTCATCTCAATATCTGGTTTTTAATATTAAATTTTATAATAATTTTTTATTTTCTTATTTTTCAAGTTACGTTTGTGATCATTTAGACAAAGTTGCAGGATTTGCTAGTATGCACAAAAAATTGGAAAGCATTAGAGCAAATTTGAGAAATTGAACTTTGCCATCAGGTCCTGTCGTATATGTATGCCATGCACAGCTTAAGGGTTAATACAGAACTGTACTGTATAAAATGCATAAAACGTCACACTAACAATATTTCTCTAATTATAACAATAATAATATTTTAAATAAAACAACTTGTAACAGTCATTTGACAACTTGTAACTTGTACATTAAATTTTGAGTATGCCTATAAAATAAGCACAGGTCATGTCAACGCGTTGGGCCTGGATGAGATGGCTGGCACCATGTGCTTCTCCTCTTCCTGGGGTAAAAACGTCGGGCTCACTCGCGAAGGATTTTCGTCATAAATTTGAACAATTTTTACTGTTTGAACTCATTTAATCTGTCAAGATGTCTCAGAGCAGCATTCATGGTATTGAAGGTATAAAACAAAAGAGAAAATATTTGTCAATTGATCAGACAGTTGACTTGACAGAGAAAGCAGAGCGTGGATACTCTGTCATTTGACTCGCCCAAGAATTCAACATCGGTAAAGCTACAGTTTGTGATATAAAAAAGCAGAAGGATAATATTAAGAAATTCTTTGCTTAAACTCATGCAATAGGCAACAGGAAAACATTGAAGCCTGCTAAATATACAGATTTGGACTCATATGTATGTAAATGATTTACACAGCATCGTGCAAAAGGAACTGCTGTTTCAGTTGATTCTATTAGAAATGCAGCTGAAAGACTTGCTGTAAAGTTAAACATTGACAATTTGAAGGCTAGCGCTGAATGGGTATGTCAATTTAAATAAGAGGCATGGCATCATTAACAAGAAAACTTGTGGCAATGCATTAAGTGCAGATGTTGGAAGTGCTAATGCATATAAGCATAAACTTTCTCAGCACATGATATCTAATAATCTAAGCAGGTTTTAAGTGTACAATGCAGATGTAACAGGCTTTAACTGGAAATGCCTTCAAAGAAACACTTTATCCTTCAGGCTTGAGAAGAGTATTCCTGGTTGCAAGGTAAAGAAGGAAAGATTTTCAGCATTATTGTGCTGTAACACAGATGGCAGTCACCGAACAAAGTACGCAATTGTTGGGAAATCTGTCAACCTCAGAGCATTGAAAAACTGCATGAACAGACTACCTGTCATCTACTACAACACAAACAATTCCTGGTTCACACAGATTATTTTTGAGGATTGGTTCCAGAATCAATTTTGTAAAGAAATAAAAAAGCAGCAGATCAATATGTGTAGAATTCACCCTGCTAAGGTAAAGGCAATGTTGTTGACTGACAATGCCCCAGCTCACCCCATTGCTAAATTAACATCGCCTGATGGCAAAATAACATGTATGGCTTTACCACCAAACACTACATCTGTAATACAGCCCATGGATTAGGGGTTATCTATGCTCTCACAGGCTTTATAAAAGAGCTATGAATTCAGATATTATGGAAGTTCTGCTCTCTGAGGAAGACGAGATGCCTAATAAGGATACGAAGGTTAGTAGAACACTAGAAAACTTCAAGAAATATTCAATTAAATACGCAATTTACAACTAGGCCAAAGAATGGAGCAAGTTGAAGGTCACCACATTAAAGAATGCATGGAATAAAATTCTGAGTCCGGTGCCTGGTTAAAATGAAGACGAAGATGACTATGATTTTGAGGGCTTTGATAATGTGATTTTTGAGACATTCAGAGATGCAGGTGAGGAAGATTTTCAACTTTCTGATGTTATCTTGAGGTTATCTTGAGATGATTTCGGGGCTTTTAAGTGTCCCCGCGGCCCGGTCCTCGACCAGGCCTCCACCCCCAGGAAGCAGCCCGTGACAGCTGACTAACACCCAGGTACCCATTTTACTGCTAGGTAACAGGGGCATAGGGTGAAAGAAACTCTGCCCATTGTTTCTCGCCGGCGCCTGGGATCAAACCCAGGACCACAAGTCCAGCGTGCTGTCCGCTCGGCCGACCGGCTCCCTATTGATTGGGGAGATCATACCATCTGACGGGATAGTGGGGAGTCATGGTGGCTCAAGTGGGTGTGCGCACATGACAACGAGGCTGGTGTTGGAGCTGCATCCCCTAGAGATGTGACACTGAGCCCCTCTCCAAAAGTAAGAAGCGTGCAGGGTAATCTCCTGATTTAAGTGTAAGCACACTACAGAGGTTTTGGGTTTGGTGGGTTGTCCGGGAGAGACAATCTATCGACTCACAACATAATATTATTATTACAACTACCACAATGTAAAATAACCCAAATGAATTTTTCATGCATATGATACCAACATCAAATCATATATCAGATGTCACCCTATCCCCACTGGATTTTGAAGAAGCCATAGACAGTATGCCTATGTACTCTGCACCAGGCCCAGATTCTTGGAACCCTATATTCATCAACAACTGTAAAAAAACATTATCGCAGGTGCTTCACATTCTTTGGAGACAAAGCCTAGATACTGGCGTTATTCCTGACATACTAAAAACAGCAGAAATAGCACCACTCTATAAAGGAGGAAATAAGGCAGAGGTAAAAAATTACAGACCGATAGCCCTAACATCACACATAAAAATCTTTGAGAGAGTGCTAAGATGTATGATCACAAAACACATGGAATCCCAGTATCTCCATAACCTCGGACAACATGGTTTCACAACAGGGCGCTCTTGCCTATCACAGTTGGTATTCTGTGTTAACCACAGAATGAGTGGTTAAATAATGATGCTGAAGATCCAGGTTATGGTGAATTAACTGATAATGAGATTATCCAGTGTGTTACTGGTAATAATGATGAGGATGTGGAACAGGAAGATGATAGTGTGTTATCTATTCCATATGCTGCATCATTGCAAAAGGTTAATGATCTGCTTGATTTGGTTGCTGTAACTGATAATGAAGAGCTGACAGATTATTACCAGCACCTAAAGGACATGAAAGATATTATAATAAAGCTCACAACAAAGAAACAAACTAAGATTCAAAAGGTTTTGGTACGGTTTCACAGTAGGCCTACAGGACCAGCACCCAGCACTAGCAAGGACTAACGTTCCGAGGATGCCCAGGCAACTGGACCAACACCCAGCACTAGCAAGGACACACCTTCCGAGGATGCTCAGGCAACTGGACCAGCACCCAGCACTAGCAAGAACTCACCTTCTGAGGATGCCCAGGCAACTGGATCAGCACCCAGCACTAGCCATAACTTACCTGGGAGTGCCAACTGAGCTGAACTGCACAGTTCTAATGACATTAAATGCACAAAGTGTAGTCTAAGTGAAATACGTGTACTGCAGTAGTGTGATTCTTGTGGTCTGTACTTTATGTGCAGACTGTAGTATATAATGTACATTTGTTAGGAAAGTTACTGTTCTTTAAACAATTTTATATTCATATGTGTGGCACTCTCAGGATATTAAGACTAACAAAGTTTGCACTACACAACTCAACTGGTAAGGACGCACCTTACCAGCACTCATTGCAATACAAATTCTTTGTTATTTAAATTTTTCATAAGGCAAATGTGTACGGGCATATGTATTAATGTGAGTATACTTTTTTTTTTGGGGGTGGGGAGAAGGGGGTTGCTGGGGCCGGATGGATGGAACGAATTCTACACTGGAAGGAATTGGCTACACCCCATATAGTTCACTCAAGCGAGGACACACTTTTAATTTCTACACTTACTGTCTACATTTAATGTCATCTAATTTCATGCATTTCTTTGATAAAGTGTTTACTCGTGTCCTTTATGATCTTGGTTATTTGTAAGTGTTGGCCACATTAACCTTAAATTATAGTATGTACTCTATGTTCTGATATGTTCAAAGAAAATGTTATGAGGAGCAGTTCACTTGCTTTTCTAAATTACACCTTGTATTTCTATTCTGTAATTAATGTAAATAAACTACTGTACTGTTGCTAGAACTACTGACTCCATAATGTAATAGTCTATGCTTGTCATCATTAAGTATCACCTTCTTTGTATTAAGTTTTTATTTTCCTTGAACATTCTCATTTTGTTAACTTACTTCTCTAATAGTATTAAGTGTTTTACCCCGTCACAACATTAATTACAAAATTTCTATATTATTATTAATTTTGCCCGAAATGCTTTGCGTAATAGTGGCTTCATTAGTATGCGTAACTCCTGTTCCTTCAATTGAACAAAATTCTTATGTTCTTTGTATATACAATCTTTTGAATAAATAATAATAATAATATTATTATTAATATTATTATTATTATTATTAATATTATTATTATTATTTACACACAGAACATCACACTAACGTGATATACATCAATGAGAAAATTCACTCGGGTTGTGAGGCGATGCGAACCTGCAATGTTTGCATCACCTCACAGCCCCAGTGGATTGTTCATTGATGTATATCACCTTCGTATGATTTTCAGTGTATCTGAAGTTGGGCATAAGGTGTTCAACTACAACACTTTACCCCTTCAACTGAATGCTAGGGGGGTCTTGCGTAAAACTTGGACTGGCTTCAAGATTTCCTGTGATATCAGTAGATATCTGATTGCAAGACTTTAAGGAAGTCAGTGGTAGAGTATGCGGCTGACAATGCCTTGGTCGTGGGTTTGCAACACCACACAGTCCCAGTGGATTTTCTCAATAATAATAATAATAATAATAATAATAATATTATAAAAATAATCATTCGATAGGCCAATAACCACACCCCAACAATGTCATTGGCCTACGGGGGGGCGGTGTGCAGGACAAACATATAAATTTTGACACTAGCTCTCCACATATGTCAGTTGCTTAATTTAGAACCTGTACTTGAGGTCGATCTCGAACCCATTGTTGATGTGACGACTTATATTGAATTTTGTAACTAGCTCATCAAGATTGTAACTTGCTTAGCTAAATGAATTGTGGGGTTCAGTCCCTGAGCCCATTATGTGCCTCTGTAACCCTTTCCACTACCGCCCACAAGATGGGTATGGGGTGCATAATAAATGAACTAAACTACGTCTACACCCCCAACAATTCCCTAGGCCTATTTCCACACCCCCAACAATTGCATGTTGAGGTGTAAGACAATGGTGGAGCAGAAAGTACTCCAGTACTTACGAAGGATGATGAGAGTGCGAGGAACAAGGTGGTCAGGTGGAGCCAGTGACTCCTTCCTTCAACAGTTTTGTCTCTCCCTCGTGGTATATCCTCAATGTCTTCAGTGGTGTGGCCTCACCACACACTTACACTGCCATAAGTGTCCTGAGAGTACTGTGGGAGGGACAATTTGGCGGGTATTGTGGACACAGGTCTTTAAGACAGGCGAACTTCACGAGTCGTGGCGACGTCTATAGCAACCTTTGTTGTGATGACGTCACTCGCTCGCTCGCTTACCCGCCACAGTGCTCTTCCCATTTTCTTTGGTTACTGATATTTGCCGACGTTAAGTGTATTTCATATTACCCGAGAGCCACTAATACTAGTGACCTCGACGAGGACAGGAAGCTGGCGGCTTGTCAAAGGTTCCATCCATTTGCCCAGATAATCGTTTCTATCTGTATTTTAAAACCCAGTAGAGTTTTGGCGTTTACCTTACCTACTCTTTCGCGGGTATGCGGTTCCACGGGTTTACAACCATACGGGTGAAAAAGCATCTCCTGTTTTCTGTCCTACATTGTGGCTTGTTGAGCTCGAACCCGAGAATCTGACCTTTTGAAGAAAGTGTACAGATCGACATCGTCCAAATTGTTTAGTACTTGAAAGGTTTCGATGAGCTCCGCCCTGTCATGCTGGTTTGCAGTGTTATATATTTATATATTTATTTGTTTATATATATATATACATAAAGGTACATTGGGATTGTGAGGATACATAGCATAGTAATTACATTCTTGTAAAGCCACTAGTACGCGCAGCGTTTCGGGCAGGTTCTTAATCTAAGAAAATTTTAAGTAGGTAAATACTAGCAAAATTTATAAAAATGATAACAGATACATAGCAAGAAAAAAAATAAGATGAAAGAAATTTGTAGGTATATTAAGGCACATAGGTAGCTCAGAATGATTGCAATGACAGCTTGAATGGTAGTTGACAAAAATTAGTAGGCACAATACAGTATATAGCTTGCACAAAAGCACATAAAAAGAAGACAGCAATGAACACAATGATAGAGTTGTTTGGATTAAGTACATAAAGATTGGGAGTTTGGGTAACACTAGATACAGAGCAAATTTAAAGCTCAGTGTAGGAAACTACGAAGATGAAATTAGGTACTTTTTGGTTTTGTTTTTAAATGACGCAAAAGTTTTACAGTTTTTCAATTCACTAGGGAGTGAGTTCCATAGACTAGGTCCCTTAATTTGCATAGAGTGTTTACACAGATTAAGTTTGACCCTGGGGATATCAAAGAGATATTTATTTCTGGTGTGGTGATAATGGGTCCTATTACATCTGTCCAGGGAGAGTTTCAGAGCATGGTTTGCATTAAGAACAGGGTTTTGTAAATGTAGTTGACACAAGAGAATGTGTGGAGGGAGTTAATATTTAGCATGTTAAGGGATTTAAACAAGGGAGCTGAGTGTTGAAGATTTTTGCTGGTTGATGATGGGCATGAGGTGGTTTGCAGTGGCTGACCCCCCATGCACAGATACCATAATTAAGATAGGGATAGATTAGTGCATAATATAGTGAGAGGAGAGCAGAGTTAGAAACATAATATAAATAAAATAAATAAATAAATGTTTATTTAGGTAAGGTACATACATACAAGAGATTTTACAAAGATTGATCGATTTATAGATAGAGCTATTACATACAATGCCTAAAGCCACTATTACGCAAAGCGTTTCGGGCAGGAAAAACATTAATGACTATAGCTTAATACTAATTGAGTATAAAGAATAAAATGTGTTGAGAACAAATAAAAAAATAAAGATAAAAAAGGGGGGAACATGGCTGAAAAAGCAGCACAGATACAATTAGGTCGAACAAACGGCGTTGTTTAAAAAAAAACAGACATGGGTTGACAATAGAGGGGTGTGGTAGGTTACAGGGAATTTATTTGGTATAGCTTCGTTTTTATCTTAAACTGGTTGAGAGAGGTACAGTCTTTAACATGGTTGGGAAGGTCATTCCACATTCTGGGTCCCTTGATCTGCAGAGCATTTCTAGTTTGATTAAGTCATACTCTTGGAATATCAAAACTATATTTATTTCTGGTGTGGTGCTCATGGGTTCTGTTACAACCTTCAATGAAGCTTTTGAGGTCAGGATTGGCATTACAGTTCAGCGTTTTATATATGTATAATACACAAGAGAGAATGTGCAGTGACTTAATATCTAACATATTCAGAGATTTGAGTAGGGGTACCGAGTGATGTCTGGGGCCAGAGTTGGATATTGTCCTAATAGCAGCTTTGTGTTGAATAATTAGAGGACGTAAATGATTTTGTGTAGTAGAACCCCAAGCACAAATACCATAGTTGAGATATGGATAGATGAGGGAGTAATAGAGTCACCAGGGCAGGGCGGGGTACATAATATCTGATCTTAGAAAGAATGCCAACAGTTTTTGAAACTTTTTTTGATACATTTAGAATGTGTCCCTGGAAATTCAGCTTATGGTCAATGAGAACGCCAAGGAATTTGCCATATAATTTGTTACAAATTTGGGTATTGTATATTTTGAGATTTATTTGATTAGGGGATTTATTGCCAAACAGAATATAGAAAGTTTTGTCAATGTTAAGGGTGAGTTTGTTGGCAGTTAGCCAAAGATGGACTTTATTTAGCTCAGTATTTACTGTGGCATTTAGAGCAAGGGGGTCAGGACTGGAGTAAATGAATCAGATAACATATTCATATAGATAACATACATATAAGGGGCCTCGTAGCCTGGTGGATAGCACGCAGGACTCGTAATTCTGTGGCGCGGGTTCGATTCCCGCACGAGGCAGAAACAAATGGGCAAAGTTTCTTTCACCCTGAATGCCCCTGTTACCTAGCAGTAAATAGGTACCTGGGAGTTAGTCAGCTGTCACGGGCTGCTTCCTGGGGGTGGAGGCCTGGTCGAGGACCGGGCCGCGGGGACACTAAAGCCCCGAAATCATCTCAAGATAACCTCAAGATATGAATAGAACATATTCATATAAAATCAGATTAACAATATCTGATTTTAGAGAGTATACCAACCGTTTTAGAGACTTTCTTAGTTATGTGTTGAATGTGGGTGCTGAAGTTGAGTCTCTTGTCTTGGAATAGGCCAAGAAACTTTCCATTATTTTTATTACTAATGTTAATGTTGTCTATCTGTAGCATAATTGCATTCGATGATTTGCTTCCAAATAAGATGTAGTAAGTCTTTTTTATGTTTAGTGTTAGTTGACATCCATAAGTGGACTTTTTTTAATTCATTATTCACAACATTGTTTAGTGTATGTGGGTTGGAGTCTGAATAGATGACAGTAGTATCATC